GAGATGCTTTTTTAAGCACATAAAAGAGAATCCAGCAGAAGCAGTGGGTTAATCCACTTAAGAGATTGTCAACTAGCTTAAAACTTCACGCCTTCCCTGCAAATCGAAGGGAATTTTTTTTAAGTTAATTTATGGAAATGATCTTACATGTAATTTTTAAACAGCAGAAGTGTGTCTTTTTCAAATCAGTAAAAATAATAGAGTTTCAAAGTAAGAAGGGACCCCAGAGAGCGATTAGTTTAACGGTCTCATGGACAGTCTGATGGGTCACTGGAGCGGCCACAGTTCCCATTATACAATCAGACCCTTGCTGGCGTTGCTGGGAGGGAATTTCGTAGATGTGACAGAGGCTCATCCTGAGCTGACTTTAAGTAAAAGAGATTATCCTCGGGGACACGGGTGGGCCTGATTCAATCAGGGGGAGGGCCTTCAGGGCAGAGCTGAGGCTTCCCTGGAGGAAACCCCCAAAGCCAGGCTCCCACAGTGGAAGCCGATTCCTGGCAGTGAATCTCTCAATGCCTGCCTCCTACTGGTTCTGCTTCTTGGACTGATAAGGTGATTTTCAAACTCTTTCTGACCCAGATGAAGAAGCAGGGGTGGGCTCTGCAGAGTGGCTGGGCTCTGGAGGGGCCGTGGGGGTCAGGAGTGCAGCAGAAGGTGCTGGCTGGCCTGTGAACCACAGGTCACTGGAGCCAAGGGGCGTGGGGCCCTCCCGACACCAATGAGCTGCCCACCTGCCCCCTGGGCCAACTTCCGCCCTCGCTGCCCCTGTCCCAGGGCTGAGCCCCCTTGTCCCTGACTTCCTGTTGGCTTTGCCAGCAGGGGGCACTGGTGGGAGGCCGGCGGGCCTTACAGGAGGGAGGCCAGGTGTCTCTGGGGGTCAGCCGGGTTCCCCTCTGGGCACCATAACCCTGGCCCCCCGCGCCACCAGGCCTCCCTCTAAGGGCTTGGTGTCCATCTCCTCATTCCCCCCCCTACCCCCCCGGGGTCTCCAAGTTGCAGTCCATGGTGGCCCAGCCAGGCGGCCACCCCATGTGCAGGTGACACTCACGTAGGCCATGCCGTACTCGATCTCAGCACCCCGCACCTCCACCTTGAACTGCGTAAAGTACAAGTAGGACTTGCCCTGGGGCCTGCGAAGAAAGGTCGGGTGACAGGGTCAGCCCAGGGCTGCGTGCCCCCTCCCGCCCCCGCTCTCCAAGATGGGATCTGCTGCCAGGCATTTCTGGGAAGGACGGGTGGGGCGCCCTCAATATGATCCACTCTTTCCTCTTTGC